CGGCTCGAGCCAAGCCGGGCGGAAAATTGTGGCCGAGTTAATGTTGAGAGTGTGGGGAAGAGATCGTATCATTTCAATGTGGGCATGCTTTAAATGCGATGAATAGTGAATTTATGGGGTGGTATGTGATTTGATATAGATGTAAAAACATTTTCGGGCTAACGGAAATGTGTATCGGGATTGGCTGAAGTATTTATACATCTTAAATCCCGTTTCGTTTAACGATTCCACTTTTAGACGTAACCTCGGTCAGCCAGTTCACAGGCTTCTCGTCTTCCTGGATTTTAGCCGATTTACTCGTAATAAAGTTATTATGGTACGCGTTTGTTGCTTCCGATTGATCATTATTATCATGAGTGTATGTTGCATTAATTAGTTGTAGACATGGTTTTCGTTAATGGGTTTATTAGCCAATAATAGATTTGGCCTGCCTTTATCGGCCCGGCCCGGACTTTAGGCCATCCTGTTGAATGCTGACGTGAAACAGTTGATGATTAAAGTGTACGATTTTTTCCGTGCTGAAGTCGAAAGGGGCAAACCATTTTATGCCATTAATAAATTCCGTAAGCGGGCAGCAAAAGCTTTAGGAGTATCAGCAAGGGTACTGACTCATGTTCTGGAACACAAACATTGTGAGGGTGATGCGAAGCAGGTAGGGGTCGTGTCAAAATCACACAAATTAAAACATTTGGAAAACTTTCAAAAGAACCTTGTAAGACAGTGTATCAACAAGCTCTATTCTGAAAACAAATACATGTCGCTGAAAATTTTAAAAACGCATTTGAATCAAGAACACAACCTCAGAGTATCAAAGTACACACTCTAGCGACTCTTACACTCTTTCGGGTATCGTTATAAGAAAATTTCGGGGGAGAATAGGTCAGTACTTTGTGAACGCCCTGATATCGTTCGTTTGAGAAATAATTCTCTCAGGGTTATAAAGGAGAAGCGCGAGGAAGGGTTCGAGCCAGTGTACTTGGACAAGACCTGGGTCATCGCCTCGCACACTGCCAGCAGTCAGTGGGTACCCGATTGGTGTGATAAGGGGTCACGTAGAAAGTTGCCTCTAGGAAAGGAGAGAGACTAATCATTCTCCATGCTGGTTGCTCCAGCAAAGGCTTTCTCCCAGGCTGCGACTTGGTATTCAGGGCAAAGTCCACAGATAACAGAGACTACCATTCCGGGATGAATGGTGCGGTTTTTCCTCGATTGGGTTAAAACAAGTTGGTACCATCTCTACCAGAGAAGTCTTTTATCGTAATGGACAATGCCCCATACCACAGCGTGCAGGACCCGGACAGTAAAGCCCCGACAGGGAACAGTCGAAAAGGTGATATGATATCATGGCTCGACAAATTTCAGATCGCACGGCCTTCAAAGGCAACGAAGCCTCAGCTATAGGAGATCATAAAAACCCACAAAGGTGAACCTTTCTACAAAGTTGACAGTTACATAAAAAGTAAGGGTCACGATATTCTGCGACTTCCACCCTATCACGGTGACCTTAACCCCATTGAAATGATATAGGATAATATTATTTCTATCGTTTGAAGTATGAATTAGAGGGAAATTATTTTCTCCTAGCGGTATGAAGCGTTCACATGGGTTATCTGCCCGGTAGTTGGCGGTTATGGGAGTATATAAGGGTGTAGATATTTGAATTTGGCATTCTCGATTAGTGCACTCCCGGCCTTTCAGCATTTAACATGTTTGTATCCTAATATTGTATTTCTATATGTTTCAGATGCTCATGATCATCGTTCGTGTGATGTGGCATGAGTGCTTTTAACCATGGTGGTTTATGGCTGTCGAGCCGTTATAATACGGTAATATGGTATTGTGTGCCATATGTCGGCTGTCGAGCCGTTATAATACTGTAATACTGGAATGTATACCATATGTCGGCTATCGAGCCGTTATAATACTGTAATACTGGAATGTATACCATATGTCGGCTGTCGAGCTGTTATAATACGGTGATTTTGGAATGTCGAGCGGTTATACTACGGTAATATGGGAATAATGTATTGGCTGTTATGATATTGTCCATTGAATACCTCCTGTGTTTTGATGACAGAAATTGTCAGCATACTGTATATTATGAATCTCAGGTGTATGCTTGAATGTTGTGTAAACAATGCTTATATTTATGTCATTTATGCTGCTGTTGTCAGTTGTGCATATGCTCACATCAACCTACATAAACGTATCGCTGGATTGCAGCTATGTCCATGTTTAATGATAACGATACTGTAAACCCTCCAGTTTTGTGCTGCTGCTGCATTCGTTGGGGAACACGGTTCCAGAGTTTTTCCTCTACGGGAGTTGTTATCTCTGGTTTACGTGTCGGGCTTCAGCATGCATTTCGTTATTCACGCATGATATTGTTGAATGTAGGTTTTGTGATGAAACAATGTAAATAAATTGGCCGCGGAACGCACGTCGGTTCCTGTTGTTCAGTATGTGCTTGTTGTGTTTTATGTAGACGGGAATGGGGGCGACTAGGAGAATTGTCAAAGGAGACGTTGCCAGATCAAACACAACTTTTAGATTACTTGACGCAGAGGTTTTGGTTAAGGAATCCCTTACCAAAATCACGACTGAACTTGGCAAAACTGTGTCAACAAGGTAGCTAACGTCATTGAACAAGGTTACTGGTCTCGGGATGGCTTACAACAGGCAACTGTGGCACCACTTGTCATCCCTTTAAGTCGTGACTATGACACTACAACGGATGAGGAACCGACAGGTCTCCCGGAATAGATTTTGAGATGTCCCCCGCCATGACTGGCTGTTCCGTTTCTGCGGTTTCACCCCGCCGCGACAGGTAACAACTTTTGCGTTTTCAATGATGATAGTTTCTTAAATAACCTTTTTTGGTGGAGTCCGGAAAATTTTCAAATATCAGAAAGCTGTTTGGTATTAGTAAATGATAAACATGTGTACTATTTATATTTATGTGGCAATTTTGTACAATGATAAAATTTGCAATTCATCGATCCGTTTCTGACTCAAACGGACTGTAAACCACATCGACAGGCATCCTCTATTTCACACCACGTGAATAGGTTCGTCAAGCGTCAAATCGCTCAGGTACGAAGGGACTTGGCTATGATACATTTTGTCCGTCTGTTTGAGTTTTGAGTGAGTGGGTTTTTGAGTGAATGTATCAACATGGTCTCTTGTGGTGTACCTTGGAACCTTTGGGCTGTGGATCCTGGCACATCTAAGAAATGCAACTCTATTCAGAACATGGTGGTTTCATAAAACACAAGTCCATCAAGTCCCATGTTAATGACAACGGGGGATTTCACGCCAGGGGACTGGCAAATTACATATGACAAAATATTCATTTGCGCGAAATATATTTATTCACAGAGAGATTATTTATAAGCTGGGGCGTGGTACACATAATGAAAAACTATGATTTTCTTCTGCCCCTGTGATATATTCTGGACCTGGATCCAAGCAGGGATATATCTGAATGAAACTGAGGGGAAAACATTCTCTTCCCACAGAGGTTACTCCTGTCATATCTTCCTACGTAACCTCTGTTCTAATACGGCCATATTTCCGAGTTCTCGTAAAATCCCCTAGCGGCAAAAGATCGCAACACGAATTATCTCCCTTCTTTCTATCCAATCAGAACACCTGTTACATCGACTTAGATTCAACTTGACTAACACAAGCAAATGTGGGGCCACAAATATCCCCCATCTGCCAGGGACTTGTGTTGATGTTACACACAAGACGTTTAATGGCAAGCTTGTCCGTTGTCAACGAGGGCGACGGAGACGCCACTGTTCCGCCATAACATGACTGAGTTCTGTCTGGAAGAAACGTTTGCGCATCGCGCAGGGGAAGAAGTTTAGTTTTCTCGAAGCATACGGAAATTACCGAGGCCTTGCGAATGATCACTTTTGAAACAACGTCGCTGATTGCACAACTAAATCTGATTGTCTCCAATCACGAGCCTTGAACGCTCACACCATGAAAGGGCCGTATTAGAACAGAGGTTACGTAGGAAGATATGACAGAAGTAACCTCTGTGGGAAGAGAATGAGGGGAAAGAGCGTGTTATATTCTCATAATATTTAGGGGCGATGGGGCAGTCTTATGAACAAAGCGTTCCCTCATCACGCCGAAGAACAGGTTCGATTCCCCACATTGGTGCACCAATTGGATGGATTGGGTTTGGATTGGTGCAAGCAAACTTATGCTTGTCGGAGCAGGCTTTGTGCTTTGGATGATTGCATGCCTACGACGTATCCGACAGCGTGGGTTGTTGATCATACTGGCGACCAGTACTGGTTTCTCTGATTGAAACGGAATACATTCACTACCGCCCCTTCCAACCGTCAAAGGGTTTAACATATTCACGGCGTATCAAACAACCTCTCACAATGTGTCCGGCTACTTCAATGATGTACAAATACAAATTTTACAAACAATATATCCTGACATCTGAACTATAGAGACATTTGAGGGCACATTCGATTGAAAGAAACCGCGACATTAGTTTTTAAAAGCTTTACTAGTTATGGCAAATAATCTGACTTCAAGTTCTTCAGTACCCAAGCTCTCAGGATAGCTTTCTGGGGGGTGCAGGTATTCTGGAGAGAACTGACTTGATTGTAGTACCATGCCAGAGTTAGACGAGGAACCAGGTCCATGATGTATCGGAAACTTCGTCTCATCTTCTAGGACGAGTGTGACAGCTTCATCACCGTCAATAGACAAAGCTTGCGTTTCAGTTAACGTGTATGTGTAAGGCACTATAGACGAGGCCCTTAGTGAAGGAACAGCGTTCTCAGGTTCAACCTCTACTTGATTCAACACCAACCACTGGACACTCTCCGGCACCCGTGCTGAAAACCAGTCAGGACATGTTTGCTGGTAGGCCTTAGCTTCATCGACGGCTTTCACCAAGGCCTTTCCCTCTGCGGATCTTAAGATGTCACTCTTACCGAGACCGATGTTGTTGCAACCATGGATGTGATTCACAAGGTCAGGAAAATTCTCGGTAACTTGTATTGAAGACCTGGGTTAAAGGGAATGACGTCATTGGAGTCGGTGTAGTTAAAATACGTCATGATTGCGGTGTACAGGAAATCCTGCTTTCCTTCCTTCGAGCGCAGGTGTGACGTTGAAAATGAGAAAGGGCCATTTTCTCCTGCCCGAAAAAAGGTGTCCTTGTTTTGGGCAGTGTAGGTCCAGTAGGCTGCTTTGGAGTTCACAAGAACAACAAAATCGGACTTGTCCATCTGCGTGACGATCCATTCGTACAAGCCAGTTTTACTAATGTCTGAGATGAACCACTTGGGGTATATCACATCACAGTAGCAATGCTTGTTGAGAAGCGTGGCAAGTGCTTGAACAGCTTTAGTATGTGCTCTGTGGTCGTCATAAGCGAGGAGGTAGACCCTTCTCATTGGAAACCTCTCGTCTGAAAGTAGATTGATACGCAGTTTTAGATGTATGCTTAGCAAAATGGAAATATACGTTTTAATATTACATTTTAGAGTTTATTTTAGAGTTTTTATTAATACACAGTCTACGGAGGAAACAAAATGCAATAAAAGACGTTTTGGCTTTGTTCAACAAATACCTAGTCCAGACAAAATGTTCAATGTATGTCGTTTCATTTAAACTTGTTTCGCGGTTAAACTGGAATTTTAATGTTGAGTCTTTTATATGTACCCAGCAATGAATTAGTACCTGGTGGGATAAATCATATGAACCTTCTAACGCCTCACAGGCAGCTTGGGTTAGCACTATCATAGTTCTAAAATACGTCATATTTTCCTCAATCTTATATAAATAATTGTGACTTTATAAAATAGGACTAAACAGCACATTTTGTATATTTTATTCAATAACGAGAATTCTAAACGCTGTCTCAGTTAGTGTTGATCTTCATTTTCCAAGTTGTAAGATAATTAGCATTATGTGTTAAGCTTTAAGACTACATGCATGGTCCGGCCCAAGTCTATAATCTGTCAGTATCAATATACGCTCGTCTTCATTCCCAAGTTTTCTTGATAAGCCTTACGTACTAACTGTTAAGACGACATGTCCGGAGAGAGAAGTAAACATTACTCTATGATAACACGCTCTCCGAGAAAACTGTTAGATAATTTTGGTCATTTCTGCACTCTCAAGTCTTTCAAAGCTACGAGGTAATCTTAAGATTTAGATAGTCAGCAGTGTAGAATAGCAACATTTGTAAGTATTGTTTAATGAAGTGACCATTGAACGCGCGACCATATCACGAACTCTGAGAGCATCGGTGGTATATATAACGGCCTTTATTCGGGGTATTTCACTCATGAAATGCACCGAATAAAGACTGGCCACTAATCGATGTTTCTCTTGGTTATTTGAAGGTAAGCCATGTTCAATTCATTCATTGTATGTTCTTAAAGTATGTTCATATTTTCTCTGTTTTCTATTACGTTTCATACTGTTAGTTTATGCCAGTATCATCATTTAAACTATGCAGTATTGAATAAGTACAACAAGGAATATCTGTATCATAGTTGTGCCAGACCATGTAGAACCAATCTAACACAATCTTACATCAAAATAGTCTACAGTATAATGTAGTAACGTTAAGACATAATATAGGTTCAGTAAATCACAATTACATATGATCGGACTCGTGGAAGCAAAGCAATTCTTGCGCACATGTTGTATATTTTATTGCGTCTTTGCAGTGAAAGTGAATGTCAGTGAATGTATTTCTAAATGATTATTATATGTGTTAAACTCAAATGTTCCATGCTACCTATCATCAACCAGTGTTTAAACAATGTACATATTATGTGAGGTTACAATACGGTACACGCAAAACCACTGAGCGCACATAAACATTGTTGTTTCATTCTGTTGCTCACATATTGCTACGTTCTCAGTACTGTAAAGCTTTAAGTATGTATATGTATACTTATTCAATAACATGCCGTTCGGCATATTATCTTTAGTAATTCGCGACAGTCTAGATATTCAGATGTGGTCATATGATTCAACTAGCAGACTGAACATTTATATTATTTGTGTATTCTTATTATTCTGCTTAGGTTGTATTCTGTCGGGATGTAGTAAAGTAACGCCTATCATTTACGACTTTCATAGAAGATTATTTTAGCAATTGATAGCACATGTACTACGTGTCTTACTGAACAGTTACCTCATCATTCTCTACGCATATTTCTCAGCTGCGCTACATCATGTGTATTATGTTTCCAATATAATATGAAGTGTCCTCACTTCCGTGTAATCTTGGCAATTGTTATTGTAAGCTATATTGTCAGTAAGGTTTATGTAATTATTAATTCACATGATTTTCATATTAAGTATTAATTGTCCAAGTTTGAAATATTGCTAATGTTTAATTATATAACATGACTCATGAAATGCACCGAATAAAGACTGGCCACTAGTCGATGCTTCTCTTGGTTATTTGAAGGTGTTGCGGTCCCAAGCTAATTCCCCGACAACAAATTCTAGGTATTATAATTATCTTAGACCAAATATAAACCCTAAAAAGGTTACTTTATAAGGTCAAGGTTATTATAGCACCTTGAGCATGCACGAGTGCGTGGAAACATGCGCTTTATAAATAGCCATTATACAGAGATTATTACACGAGCACGTGTGTCATATGACTTATACGAAACGAGTGTGAAATTTTGTATTGCCCGAGCCAGAGCTCGGGAAATACACAATTTTGCACGCGTTTCGTATAAGTCGTATGACACACTTGCTCGAGTGTAATAATTTCTCTTTAATCCATTTTTTCCATGTAGTTTTGTGCAGTTAAACATGGTAAGCAAGTGTAACGGCCCACTTCATTGACGTCACGTTCAATTGTTTAATGACGTCACAGACGACGAAATACAGAAACAATGGTTGCTAGGCAAAAGTGATATGTGCTTATATGATATATATTACACTGGTTATGTTCCATCATACGGATAATAATATTCAATATTATTGTATGTACACTGGTTTTGTTGTGACTGTTTGCATTTCGACACATCCAAAAACATCCCTCACGTGGTAAAATATCTTCCGTATTTTCAGAATCGCTGAATGAAAGAACCAATTAGGTATATTACATACCTTTAATTTGCACCTTCTTTCGTGCAAGTATGAAGATCAAAATGGCGGCAAACAGAACCACCACACAAACACATATTCCTGTGGCGATTATCAGTGTCTTTATTTCTGAAACAAAGGCAACAGTTAACCCAGATCACTTTCTGAAACAAGATAAGATCATGACCTTTTCACATATTAAAATTCCTTCTCGGTTCCTTCATTCCTAACATTGATTTCGATGAAATATCGTGGCATTTTAACATTATAGATTTCTAGAAGTATATATAAACTAAAGCATATCCATAAAAAGTCGTGGGTCCTCCTCAGAATGTGTAGACCCTATATTTTAACATGGAAATAATTCTCTTAGTTAATAGGGGATGAAATCGTCGGCCATAAGGACCTGTAGAAAAAAAAGCTGTGGGTTCCGAGTGGTTTTCAGTCGGTTTAGGGCCTAAGGACCGACGATAATTTAGAACGCTGCCTGTCTGTCATATGAATGCGCCGGTGAAGCGATTCACCCGCTAATGCTCACCGTTGTTACTAAGGCTTGGCGAAATTGGTGCTGTCTGTGCTTCACGTGGTCTCTCACCTGTAATTAACGAAAGACGACGATGAAACACACAACGAAGTAAGCCATCATTTCTGCATGATAAAGATTGCACTATGTGTCCTCACTCTCTGGAATATAATTATAATCTAAAAATTATCCTAAACATGTGATATAATCATGTCCTAAATAAAAGACTTTACCCACAATACAAACATGTCATTATTTTTATGAAACTTAATTTCCAACAGAAAAAAACTTCCTATATCTGTTAATATGTGTTAATCAACATAGCCTACGAAGTGTAACTACTCACTTTGATCGTAAGGAGTTTGTAGAATATTGGGCTCTGTTGATGATGCATCCGCTCCATCACCTGTAAGTAGAACGTAACATTTTGTTTGTTTGGTTCACATCGCACTCGGCATAATCCCAGCTATATGACCGCGGTTTGTAAATAGTAATATACTACAAACAAAAAATATGGGAACACCCTAAAATTTGATAGTCATATATAAACTGAAACGTGGTGAGGTCATTTATACTCTAAGGTAAATGCAACTTTTGGTGTGCTTAATGGGCACTTTAAACGACATGGCTGACCATGCAGTGAAGTAACTGATTCAATATTCGTTGAGTTCGAGTGAAATGAAACATTGTGAAAAACAGCAAAAAACAAGGTTGCTAAAATACACAAGCACCATGTTTGATTCAAATGCCCGAACACAACAGCCTAGTGCATGTGGAAGACAGACTTCCCATTTACCTTAGAGTATAAATGACCTCACCACGTTTCAGTTTATGTATGACTATCAAATTTTAGGGTGTTCCCATATTTTTTGTTTGTAGTCCGCTTATATGGCGCTCATATCCAGGCACATTGCCTGCTCAAGGCGCTACGTACATTACTATCCCCGGTCATAGGACACTATCGTACTTTCTGACCATACAGCCATGCTGCCTGTTAGGCACAATGAACTAAACACTGACATTGCCAGCACATCCTCACGGGTACCCATTGTACAGCTGGGTGAAGTGAGACAACGTGGATCTAAGTATCTTGTCAAATGATACTGCGCAAATGTGCCCACCTCGGGTCCCGAACATAGGTGCTCCACCGGGGTTCGAACCCGGGCCTTCAGCGTGATAGACAGACGCCTTGCTACTGTACTGTGGCCTACGAAGTGTAAATACTCACTTTGGTCCTTAATAGTTTGTAGAATATTGGGCTCTGTTGATGATTCATCTGCTCCACCACCTGTAAGTAGAACGTAACATTTTGTTTGTTTGGTTCACATCGCACTCGGCATAATCCCAGCTATATGGAGGCGGTTTGTAAATAATCACAATCCAGTGGTTAACATCATGAGCAACGATGTTCCTAAGTGGGATACGATGACATGTATCAGTCAAGTCAGCGTGCCTGACCACCTGATCCAGTTTCGCCACTTACGACAAGCATAGGTTGCTGAAGATCAATGCTAACCCGGATGTCTACGAGGTATAACCTAACATTTACAATGTACCTCATCCTTGACTACCGCAGAGTACTACCGGTGAAGATCCGGGTTTAGAATATTGATCTTCAGTAACCCATGCTTGTCGTAAGAGGCGACTAAAGGGTGGTCAGACTCGCTGATTTGGTTGACACATGTCATCGGTTCCCAACTGCGCAGATCGATGCTCATGCTGTTGATCACGGGATTGTCTGGTCCAGACTCGATTATTTACAGACTGCCGACATATAGCTGGAATATAGCTCAGTGCGGCGTAAAACTAAACTCACTCACTTACACCGCAGAGTACAGTTTATCTCACCTATGAATTCAATCTGTACATGGCCAGATATCGCTATGTTCCAATATCTATCTAACAGTTATGAACCTACCATTTTATAGATGATCATATCAGTTACGAATTCATATTTTTAAATTAAGAAACTGTATCCTGAATCATTGAAAAACTTACGCTACTCTCCAAAATCTTGATATAATTACTTGGATCTACATTACTTTACCTTTGTCACGTGGGTCTCCATGGGTGAAGAGATCTAAACATCATGTGGGATTAACATTTTAAAACGTTGAGGATCGTAATCAGGGCCCCAATATCCTGATGAGTTTTAGGCGATCACGTCTCCATGACGATGTCACTACTGTCCTGGGGCAAAGGGTTGCCTAGTGGTTAAAGCGTCCGCTCGTCACGCCGAGGACCCGGGTTCGAATCCCCACATGGGAACAATGTGTGAAGCCCTTTCTGGTGTCCCTAGCCGTGATATTGCTGGAATACTGCTAAAAGCGGAGTAAAACCATACTCACTCATTCACTACTGTCCTTTAGATTACTTCTTGTGCTTTTTCGTTAACAATACCGATATTTTGTATTAAAACAATACCCTCAATAAAAGTATATGGCATGCATTTCTTACAATAGTAATGCGGAAATATTATGTATTTTTAAAACACAATAACATACGACTGATTTTAAATAATCTCATTTTTCCCCGGAATAATTTTGTTATTAGAATTCGACACAGGTAATTATAAACCACAGATTCGAACAAGCGATCATCGGATGCTCGAACCATAAAGGAACAGAGCTTGCATAGTGATTACCACCCTCGGACGAACGACCTAGCCATGCTAACACGAGTCCATACCAAACCCATATATGGATACCCCGCCATGATGCTGTAATAGGCGAGTGCCGTAAGTTCGACCTTTGGGTCGAGGTGAAAATCTTTTGATTTTTGATGTTGAGAAAACAGTGTTGTTTTAAGGGAATAAGACACTGGTTTTCTGTAAAATGTCAAATGTGTCCACTCAGGCAACGAAATAGGATATTTGTACCAGCGGATAGATATGTGAACCAGCGGGTTTAGTGAGTGGGTTTAGTTCACTCAATTCATTAGTAGTGAGTTATTCAATTTCTTACATAAACTTGCATGCTATAAGAATGGTGGAACTGACAGTTTTCATCAACATTTCCACAACTTCAGTTATATATGGGATATTGCAAATGCACAATAGGTATCTTCCTACTTCTCGTGGTGGAAGATACATGATTTATAAATATTTATGATTTATATATTAATTATGATTTGTATTATTTAATTTTTTTCCAAGATTCAAGATTCTTTATTCAGTATCAAAGGCATCCAGCCCAGAGTACACATATATAGTAAGTATAGTCAAGTTATTATAATATACTATCGAAAAAAAGAAACGCATATGCCAGAAATCTGTTGCGAAAATGTTGTATTTTCTAACATGTATAACTCGTCTACAAATAGACTTTAGTACATGAAGTTTTGCATCAGTTTAGAAGAAGGAAATGTCTATGCAACCAAGTTATAATTTCAGATAACGAAGACGTTGAGCGCGATGGTGACGACGTAGCACGGCCCGACGTCGGATCAGCTAGCTCTCAATCCAATCTCTCAACCAGTTCCGTACAGTTTGACCGGATATCCTCCAAAGTCTAGGCACCCTGGCTGCTGTGTCTCTCACTCATGGCAGTACGATCACGCCAATGTAGTACCCGGATGTACCGATCTTGGGCTGCAGTGGTGATTCGAGGTCTGCCTGTACGGGGAGGGTCATTTGTTATACCTGTTTGGTTGAAACGAGCTGCAAGCCGTGATATCGTGCTCAGACTAACATTAAGACGCCTGGCAACAAAACGTTGATAATCTCCAGCGTACATGCACTTTCAATGGCGATGTTCCGTGTTGCACCGTCAAGACGTGGTGTAGTGATTTGATCTTGGAACTCCTTCAAAACGAGTGCCGATTTCCGAAAGTAATCTGGATTTCTATAGCCAGACAGTGCATGCTCTTTGCTGCACAATTTCAACTGGAAGGTTATTTTTGTTGCGTTGTGGCAATGCGTTTTTAATCCTTGTAGGAAATTTCATCAATATCAACATTTTCAGATAAAGTCGATCTTTTTTTACTTGTGCAATTATGTAAAATCATGCTATCAACACTTTTGTTGCATATTTTGACGATTGTTTGAACACAATAGGCAATTAATAGATTTTAAAAAATACAAAACACATATGCGTTTCTTTTTTGGGATAGCATATAATAGAATAGAATACAGTGCTAAAGATTCTACAGTGCTAGGACATTGTATGGTCCGTCGTAACTTTCTTGAATTTGTATACATTGCATAAATAAATTGCTTGTACAAACACTTGGTAACATTTGTTTCTCAACTTTCTCATAGAAATGAAATGACATGATAAAGCACACTTGTCATAAACTGCAGATACATTCAAATTCGCGTCACAATGCATATCATTAACAGTTACAATGGTTAAGTTTCCCCATCACCAAAATAAATGAAGCAGTCAAACAAATTGCCAGTTGTCTCCCTTAGCTGTTAACATTCCGCTGTCTGATTTGTGTGCACTTTAGAATATACAGTTCTAATGATTCTAACATAGTATTATCTGTCATAACTTTCTTAAATTTGTCAACATTACATAAATTGCTTGTACAAATGCTTTGTAAAAGCTTGTTTCTCAACTTATTGTACAAATGACATGAAGTGATAATGTGCACTTCGTCTTCAACTGCAGACACATTCAAATTACCAAGGCAATATTTACATATTCTGTCATACCCAGCAACACCTTACCACCGACCAGTTTCAACAGCTAACTTATGATTCCCTCATCGGAATCTGCAAAGAACAATTCTTACATTTTTGCTTTCAGGTTCTAACAGAGATTTGATTATGAAATAGTTATTAAGCTTACTGGTTTCACCTATGGTATATGTCCATGTTTGTTTCCAGCAATCTTGCAAACGTTCTCTACAACTGACTGACTGAGTTTGGTTTTACGCCGCTTTTAGCAATATTCCAGCAATAGCACGGCGGGGGACACCAGAAATGGGCTTAACACATTGTGCCCATGTGGGGAATCGAACCCGGGTCTTCGGCGTGACGAGCCAACGCTTTAACCACTAGGCTACCCCACCTCCCCGTTCTCTACAAAATGTGAGACAACACCAACACCTTGTTCCAGCCAAACTATACCAAATCCGTGGATATTCAACAAATGTTTGATTCTTGTTGCCCATGTGGATCTACCAACTCCACCAAGCTGATACAACATCAGGATATCTAGTTGTGGGCATGTATAAAGATTTTAACCAGTATTTTATTGTTACATGTAGTGGATATCTTCCGAACTTTCCATATAAAACTGCTGCTGGAGTGTTTGAATTGACATGAAGAACTTTTCTGAGAAATTTACGGTGAACATTTTCTAGAGCCTGAAAACTTTCAAACCCCCAAACTCCTGATGCATAACATAAGATGGGAGAAACCATCCTGTCAGATAGAAACATAGACTCTTTGATGTAAAGCTTAGACTTTCTTAAAAATCCCAATAAAATGTACACGGCTTTTTCTCTTTGTTGTCCTAGGGTATTTCTGGCCAAACTCCGTGAGAGTTTAGGAGGAAGAACACACCAAGATACTTATAGGCTGACACTGCCTCAAGAGGAATACCCTTATAATGCCACTTTTCCTTTTTTGTTATTACACCACCTCTTCGAAATGCCATGACTTTAGTTTTATCTAAATTAATCTTCATCCCATATTGACTGCAAAATCTTGCTTAACAATCCATGTGATGCTGTAATCTTCCCACATAATCTCCAACATTGGCAATATCATCAGCAAACATTAACAAGGTAATATTTTCAGCATACTCATTCACAAAAATACCCTTGCAATTGTTTATCTTGTGATTATCTACCAACTCATTCAAAACCAAAGTGAGCAATAGTGGACTTATCATACACCCTTGCCCGGTTCCAATTGTACACTCAAAGTACTCAGATAAATAATTCCTATTTACAAGTACACAAGACTTTAGCTGACTATACAGAGATGAAATAACATTGAAAAACTTCCCATTCACACCTCTCTGCAATGATACATATTGCCACAAGTGATGCTGAACACTGTCAGGTGCCTTTGAGAAATCTATAAATAAGCAATAAAACATCCTTTAGACTTAGATAGATATTCTTGAACGAGAGATTGCAATACAAAATATTGTCCAAGGTACTGCAGCCTTTCCTATAGCCAGCTTGTTCCTCATACAATTTGTCCTCAGCTTCACACCAGTTTGAAAGCCTATTGTTCAATATTTTGGTAAATACCTTTCCTAAAACTGATGACAAAGATATACCCCTATAATTGTTAGGTTCTGTTTTTTCACCTTTCTTATGGATGGGGAATATTATTGCCTCTGTCCATGCTGAGGGGTAGACTCCAACTGATAATATTTTGTTGAACAACATATGAATATATGGCAAAAGTAAATGAGACACACTTTTTAAATGCTCGTTCAACATTCCATCAGGCCCTGGGGGCTTTACCATTGGGAAGGCCATTAATCACAGAACTAATTTCTTCCATGGTAATAACCTACTCTAAACCAGCGTCAACATAGTCACTACAGTGTGTGTGATCGTCACAGCTGCTGAGATACTCATGTACGTGTGTACAAATATCAGAGTAAGTATCAAAGTTGATGTTGTTTAGCAGTGACGAAAAGTGCTCAAACCACTCCTCTGGTGAGATTGCTTCACGACCAGGCTTCCCTTTTCTATTAAATCGTTTAATATATTTCCACAAGTCTTGTGTTGTTACACTTCCATTACTAATGACTCTCATCACTTCTGGTTTGTCTGCCATGTCATACTTGGCTTTTTTGTGTTTACATAGATTCTTAAACATGTTTCTTGATGATGTATAGTTCTTCTTGTCACTGTCAGAGCCAGATGATCTAAACCTATCTAAACACCAATAATTCTCACGCTTGTGAGTCTCACATTCCTGGTCCCACCACTTGGGCTGACTTTGAAAGTGCCATACGCCCCTCATTTCAGACTGCATATCACTTGTAGCTGCACATTCACAAATAACTTTAGATAATTGCGCACAGCCTCATTGCTGTCATAATTATCCAGGCTGTCCACAAATAATCTTTGTAGCTCACTGATTTTACCTGCTAGGTTACTGATATATACTTGAACTAAGTTTGGTTTCCACTTGAGTCTATTCCATGGCCTCAACACCTGTCCTGACCTATTATGTAGTTTCACCTGAGAGTCTAAACTAAATGTGCATGTTAATGGTAGGTCAGATTCTGGCATGGCCAGTATGTTAAAGTCTGACACACTTTTGTACAAACTCGTGGAGACTAAGACATAGTCAATGACACTTGTTCCAGTGTGTGAAATAAAGTAAAATTTCCATATTTATCGTTTCCTGCTCGACCGTTAATTTAATTCATAAGGAAATGGTCATTTGTAGTGCAATTGTATGTAATGTTATTTAAAGTTGCTTATTATAGTGCTATAAACTTTTTATGTATATATTATGTTGTATGAATGTGTGTTATTTGGTATGTAGACAATAGAAATTACCGTCCAAATGAATGTTTAAATCAAAATGACATTTTACAGCGTGAATCTTGTCAACTTATTTTCCGGTGAACATTTTAGCATTAACCATACCGTTGTAAAAACAGTGACTGCCCATTGTCTAGAACCAGTCGACCTTATAGATACACCCCTGCAAACCGACCAGTTTGTTTTTACACCCATCCAAAGGTCGGTCTTACGGGACCTAAGCGCTGTAATATCTGTCACAGCGGCGTAAAATAACACTTACGTTCTCCTGCATTACCAATAGTAATGTTCTTTATCCGTGTTCGCAAGCACTCCTTGCGCTGGTGACTGCCAGATTCTTGGACAGAGAAGCACAAGGCATATTTGTCCTCGCGCCAGTAGGGATCTATTGCTTGGACCTAGAAAACAACACAAAATCTGTCAACACCACAACCATTACTCGAGTAGTGTTGTGCTATTTAACTCTTACTATACGGATTCGGTCGATGAGTTGAATAAATAATAAAATGATTTGTTCGTTAAAATGTAGGGGTTGTGGGGTAGTGCAGCGGTTAAAGCGTTCGCTCGTCACGCCGAAGACCCGGGTTCGATTCTCCACATGAGTACAATGTGTGAAGCCCATTTCTGGTGATATTGCTAAAGACGGCGTAAAACTAAACTCGATCACTCACTGAAATGTAATTTGCGCTCTGTTTTAGTTGGGTCCAGTCCAGCCTGATAACTGTACGAATCTACACCGAAACGTTATGACGCGATACAACAGAAACTGTTATCCATAAAGTTAATTTGTTACTTATCAAATCCATTATTGTTGTCAGTTCACTTTTCAAGGTTGGAGGAATTATATAAACCAAACAAATATGTCTCACCCATTAAATCTATTAATTGTGTAATTGAAGCGAAGATATCAACACTTTCCGTAAAATACTGTACAACACACACAATATGGAACAAACGGAGGGTGAAGATATCAAAACTCCCTGTAAAATACTGTACAACTCACTCAATATGGAACAAACGGAGGGTGAAGATATCAAAACTCCCTGTAAAATACTGTACAACTCACTCAATATGGAACAAACGGAGGGTGAAGATATCAACACTTTCCGTAAAATACTGTACAACACACTCAATATGGAACAATATTCCAGCAATATCACGGCGGGGGACACCAGAAATAGGCTTCACTCATTGTACCCATGTGGGGAATCGAACCCGGGTCTTTGGCGTGATGAGCGAACGCTTTAACCACTAGGCTACCCCACCGCCCCGCATCAGGAAATATACTCAGGATGAATGGGTACCACGTATGAAGCCCATTTCTGTTAGATGATATTTCTAAATCGTGATATTGCTGGAATATTGCTAAAACGGCGTAAAACTAAACTCACTCACTCACAGACCTTCAAATTGCATATTGTGTAAACATTTCCTGTTGATATGTTCATGGTTAGAAATTCTCGGAATCGGAATCACACAACAACACATTGTCAAGACGCTCGATAATGATCACTTCCTTTACACACTCCCAGATACTTCGGGGAGGCGTCCATCACAACAACTGTAGTCGTCGTGGACATATAACACTGACCACTTGGACAACACGTATAACAACACTTAAACAATTTGTTTCGGTCATCTCAATGTGCCCTACTTGTTCATTTAAAGTCTGCTGTCAAGCAGTTGAAGTGTGATGGTGTCATGACAGTATTCGGTCGAAAATCTATCACCCTATACCATATCACTCTATGTTGTATCACCTAGATTAGTTATTGTTCAAAAGCAGGACCATCTGCTTGAATTTTATGCGTATTTTATACCAAGGGTCACATCAATTTAGGGACGCGTTCAATTCATGATGTGAATGTAGATGTCTAGTTTGTAAGTTAGTTGGTTTTAAAATTACTTTGAGCAATAATTCAGTTTCTGTCATGTACAAAATCACCCCCTAGTACATGTGTACAATATTTATGACACCCCAACCCCAACCACCCCACACCCACACCCCTTCCCAGAACAAAATGGGTGATTCCTCCTTTAAATCATCACCCCCTAGCTATAAATTATGAATATTTTAAGTGAAAAAACAAGTGTCATAAGGTAACACGTTGATTTGAATCGGAACCTTACCTCCAACATATACCTGTTTTCGGGAATATTTTCAAAGATAACAGTCCCGGATGTAGCGTTTTTTTCAGCCAGGTGGGAAATCTGCAAAATAAAGGAAAATAAACATCCTACTGAGAAACAGTATCGAGACAATGATATTAGGCATGAAACCAGAAACCTGTTCCGGTCACATCGAGCAACAATTCCACCGGTTCAGTGCTATATAGTTACGAGTAAAGGGTTTATCTCATAGACACGGCCACATTATAATACACGTCATAAAACAATGATGTCTATAGTGAATACAATGACGTCATAAATCATTGGTATTCTGCGTGACGTGGCAACCGGTGAAAGTTTAGTCTGTAAAACATCAATAAAAGTGGATATCACACTAGTTTGCCTTCCATCCATCAATTACTTGATACCTACTGGTAGAAATAACGATTTCGGGTGGTCAGGCTTGCTGACTTGGTTGACACATGTTATCGTATCCCAATTGCGTTGAACGATGCTCATGATGTTGCTCACTGGATTCTGTGGTCCAGACTCGATTATTTACAGACCGCCGCTATATAGTTGGAATATTGCTGAGTGCGGCGTAAAACTAACCTCACTCACTCACTGGTTGACACATGTTATCGTTTCCCAATTGCGTAGAACGTGATGATGCTCACTGGATTGTGTTGTCCAGACTCGAATATTGAGAGACCGCCGCCATATAAGTGGAATATTGGTAAGTGCGACGTCAAACAGCAAACAAACAAACAAAAACGGTAGAAGTAGAATACTCGTCGGTGCTAAAACTTGTTTCCCCACTCACCCATCCACACTTATTAACCATTCTCATTCATTCACCAAATCAGTCATCAGACACTCACGACCCCACCCCCATCAAACTGCCTACCCACTCCCACACTCGCCCCTTCAAAGCCACAGTGCTTACCTTATTGCATGATGTCGGTTTTTAGTGTGTAACGTACAATCTTTGAATGGATTGTCCTGCGCCGACATTTTATACATTGATACCAGGTACTCTTCAAACTTGTATTCTGTCGGAGCGAGAGAAAAGGTCACCTCTACATTACAGAGGAGTTTGGAGTTTCTTGAAAAACGATACGTTATCAATGGGCTCCAATCGGCGGCCGTATCATATCTGTTAACAAATTAAAAAGACATAATAGAAGCGACAAAATCCTTTCCACATTCATAAGAAATCTCTGCCAAAAGCAGAGTCGATTGTAAAATTGCGACTATATCATGAGCAGATATTTACAATGAAATATAAAACCACCAAAAGCCCCGAGTTTCGATATATGTTAGCAGATTAAGCAAATGCAAGAGCAAATATACACCGTCAGAATCAGAGCCATGTGACGATTACGGTTAAGCTTCAGGCACTCTCAGTGCGTATACATCCATGACTTGCCGATACATGCTTGAGAAGGACAAAACATTTTAAATTATCATGCAATATGTATCACATTTCGTACCTCAGGTCTTTCAATGGCATTTATAGAAGGGATGCACATAAGGAAGGGAGTTTTATGGATGTTAATGTCTTTATTATGAGGAATACACGCTTCGGAGTATATATTTACTAATTCATCAGGTGAATGAACGCTATGAGACTGAGAGCACATGTTATGCACATTTCGTACCTAAAAAATAATGCATTTATACGTTCAGAAATGACAGAATGAGGACCAACGTAACATGGTGTGAAAGCTACAGCCATCTTTAAAATCGGATTTTTGAACCAGCATATGTTAAATAATTGTTCGCAAACCAATAAAATGGTGCAAGGTATGCAGTACAAAAAAGGTTTTACCAACAGTGCTTTGCCATCCTTCTCACCTTTCTGAAAAATAGAACCGTGAAACAGGAGTTGCTATTGTTTTTGCAAAAAGAGTTGTGCTGCCTTCATCAAATACCATTCAGCTGTAATGTATACTACTCACACTTTGCTAAGGATCACAGAAAATTACAACTTTACTTAATCGTAGATTTATAATTTGGAATTGTGTCCATATAAAATTGGATAAATAATAATATGGTAGCACCTCTATAGGCAAACAACCACTTTAAGCTAACCTTATGCTCTTGATACACGAGTAAGCATAAAAATGGTTTTCATGGCGCCAATCAACCATTTTACAAATCATGGAACGAGTCATTGACAAATAAACAATACATGTCAATAGCAGGTATGGGATCCACAAGATGCTATGACATACTGAAACCAAGGATTCATGCTTACAATAAGCTTAGGTATTTAAACCAAATTTGACCGACATAATAGTTTGCTGTTGAATCCATGATTTGATCCTTATCAAAATGGGATTAGTATGCATGAGAATAATGCAGTTCACATACTCCATGGTAAACTGATTCCATGCTATTTTTCACAATAGTCTACTAACCTCTGACATCCTCTGATGTTGATCGATTTCATAACAGTAACTATGTATCAACATTGGATTAGCAATAACTGAGTCAGAAAGTGACTCACGTCAAGAAATAATATTGTTCCTTTCTCAATGTAGATGAATTTCATGACAAATAGTTCCCATTTTATATGAAGATTATGATTTAACTAACAACATCACAGAAATATCTTTCTAAGTTCAATACCTACTACGGAACTATTGGTAGAAGTATTTGTAGAAGAATCGCTACAGTTTCGGTACATCTCCGCAATACACCAGCGATAGTACAGCTCTCATGACGCGATGCATTCGCCTTCCTTCCGCGGTATCACCTACACATTGTCTATACCGTGAAGACCCGAGTTAAAACTTGTCTTCAGCAACCCATGCTTATCGTAAAAAGAATTTCATTTGGTGACTTGGGTGGTGCATGTCATCGTATCCCATTTGTTTAAAGGGATGTTCATGACGTCAGTAGCAGAACTGTCTGGCCCAGCCACGATTACCTACCGACCCCATGAATATTGCAGTTGGTGGAGTTGTACAAAAAACAAGCGCACAAACAACGTACCTTTCACTTCCGGTAGGGCGAAATAGTTACTCTGGCAGTGGGTCTCGCGAGGCAGTGAGCATACTGTGGCCCGATACTGAATGTCTGGCCCTGTCCCCAATCCGGGAAATATTTCAGAGAACTCCAGCTGAAATGAAAGTTTTCAGCATGAAGATAAAACAATTTCGTTTACGAAATTAGAAAAATCGTTGGTTTTTATTTTGCATTCGGCTGAGACTTTTTTTTATAGAGTTATAGGCACTATATTACGCTGCACTTAAATAAATAATGCATTTCTCTCAATAATGCTAACTACCAACCCTCAGGGAAGCTACCATATAATTTATTCCAGAAAAAATACGTATTTAGATTAGATAACTTACATTGTTATCATTTCCCTGAAGTTTGTTTCCTGTGAGATCAAATATTCGACAGGAAGTCATGGGATATTCAGCTGGTCCATGCAGTTTCCTTATTTCCAACTGGAAGCCTTTCAGATGTACTGCATCTACTCCTGCAATGATTACCATAATCATTGATTTTATCAGTTTCACAATAATCACCATTATCACCAGTACCACTGTTAATGTTATTTGTTGATGGTAGCTTCGACTTGGTAAATACGGGCACTGATTTGACATGGTTTATTCATTTAAATAAAATCTTTATGCACAGTTTTCACAAAATAAATGTTGAAACAAAAAATGACATCAGTCTAAATAAAGAGGTCACAAACTATCGATTTAAAGCACGATATTATCTATGGCTCGACGGATAAAAAATATTCAATTTAACACACGTAAATTCCAGAAGCACACTGGTACCTGTGTGTATGTGAGCTATTAATCAGAAGAAGTAATACATTGTACAATGTTTGTGCTGTTATTAAATTGAAAATTTAAAAATCCTGTTATTACATTTGACAATGTCCACTTAAGCATCATTCATGAAAGAAGACTGAGGAAAGAAATGAATTTGCAGCCACGTAACGCCTTTCATGTTTGAAAGATTGTAAATTTACTCTGGAAAAAGCTAATTTGTTGATTTCCAAAGAAAAGAGGCCTAAGAAACTCATCATAAGTTTTTTTATGCTATTTATGTAAAACACTTAAAATATACTCATGCCAATAATGGTTCTCACCCCTCTCCCCACCCCAACCCCACACACACCTCACACACCCTCTCCACACCCCACACCAATTAAATAAATTGAAGGGGGTGACAACCATTATTGGCATGAGTATATTCAACTCGATTTTTGTTTCTTTTTAAATAAAATATGAAGTATTCTTAGAGTAATGACTAGACATCAGTACATTTGTTTTGGGGTATAATATCTTAACTGAAACAGAAAATCAAACACAAATGAAATCAGCTCGGAAATATTTCTTCCGCCCCTCAGCCTCTATCCCCGTTACGACCCATGAAGGTCCGGGTTAGCATATTGATCTTCAGTAACCCATGCTTGTCGTAAGAGGCGACTAACGGGATCGGGTGGTCAAGCTCGTTGACTTGGTTGATACATGTCATCGGTTCCCAATTGCGCAGATGGATGCTCATGCTGTTGATCACTGGTTTGTCTGGTCTAGACTCGATTATGTACAGGCCGCCGCCATATAGCTGGGATATCGCTGTGTGCAATAAACTCACTTACTCACTATCCCCGTTACTGTGTAGTATATGTGCGCCGGTTAGTGATAATACCAAGCTTTCTACATGGAAAAATGCTTTCATGTCGCCGACTATCGATGAATGAATAATAAATAAGCCACTTTAGTGAGCTGTGGAAGCTTATGACATATTTATTTCGTTAAGTCTAATCAGTTTACAACGAATAATAATAGCATATATGTACCGCGCATATATCCATGGTAAAGCATACTCAAAGCGCACAAAATAAAATACAGTGAAGGCAAAGAGCTTCAGTTGAAAGGCTATATTGAACATGTGTGTTTTTAGATTGGCACTAAAGGTTTAAAAGTCACAACAGTCTCTGAGGCTCTGAGTGAGGCTTTCCCAGGCCATTGATCGTGTTTATTCAAGATATATTTTGGTAATGTACATCTGAAAACACTCAAAGAACACAAATATTTCTTACCTGAAGAAGACGGTTTCCATTTGAAAACAGCCACAGGGACATATCCCACAGAACGGTTTACCGTTATGTAACTGACCTCGAAGTCCCTTGGTCTCCCTACCGAAGTCCCACGAAACATGCCAGGAAGTAACTCGCAGTCTGTAACAAATACATCATACATTTTTAGGGCGCCATCTCAAAGATGCTCAGTGGCGCTAAGGAAAAAAATACAGAGGGAAGACATTTTTACCACAGTGAAGCCGCATGTGAGGCGCGGGAACGTAAACAGTCATATGACTATCTTATCCCACCGGGTACCAATTCACTGCTTGGTGAACAGAGGTATTTTTGAACAAACTCACTTGCCTTGGGACTAAAGTCTGTCAGTGGTCAAGACGGTCACCCATCCAAAGACTCGCCGTGACCAATATAGCCTACCTACTGATTTGTGACCTGGACACAACAGACCGCACATCACCAATGTATGTCCAAATTTACAGAAACGTTAATGCATTATCAAGAATTTGGTTTAGTTTTATTGTGACCCTCGAACACAGCTAACTGTTGCCCTGCACACACTCACATTACACACCGTGTAAAATACATTTGAACCATTCCGTCTATTCCTTGTCAAACCCAGGCTCCAGTTTTGGGAACTCCCAATAATAAACTTCGGGTTCCACGTCATTAAAAGGGGTGACAGGAGGACCCAGAAGGAGGAGCTGTTCGATTTTCAAGTATTTGGAGGTTTGTTTTCTTTGTTTAACACTCAGCAATATTCCAGCTATATGACGTCGGTCTGTAAATAATCGAGCCTGGACCACACAATTTAGTGATCAATAGCATGAGCATTGATCTACGGGACTAGGATACAATGACATGTTTCAACCAAGTCAGCAAGCCTGACCACCCGATCCCATTATGACACACATGGGTTGCTGAAGACCAGTCCCAACCCTGATCTTCACGATTCGATTTTCAAGTGTGTAAGTGTGCGAGTTTTTCTGGTTTGGCGCCGCTTTTAGCAATATTCCAGCCATAACACAGTGAGCACACCGAAATGGGTTTCGAACAATGAAACATTTAATTGGAAACTTACCCTCTGACTTGAGAACGTTACATGTAATGTTGGTTTTCTGAAAATACAATTATTAAAATATCATCTTTTAACTCAAGGACTTTTCCGATTTAATGTCACCAGTCTTACTTTTTATAATTACTTTTCTTCTAATTAAGTGAGCATATTGTATTGGGGTGCACGTGTGGAGACAAATAACACAAGGAGATGATGAAGTAGAGAAGCAAAGTTTGCAGTGATTCATGCAAACTTTTTGTTTATATTTGTTTTAATGGCAACAATGTAGATCTATGCAACTTATTAACAATAAATGACGCCAATAATTATCCCCAGTACTGATCAAACGCTACTCGGCCTATTGATAGATTTAATGGCAAAGCTCAGTCTCCAAGGAAATAATAGTTTCTTATTTCAACTTGAATATCTTACAAAAATGATACTGTGTATACTAAATCTGACTGAAAAATATATATACCTAGTGGCAGTTAAGGTGATAAATATGAGGGTGGTAGAGGTGCCATGTAAAAGTCAGAGTAGGAGCCTATGGATGGAATGTCAAAGTATCGTGAAGTGTCAGATTGGTCTTATGGAATGTGAATGTGAATGTGAATCTGAATCTGAATCTGAATGTGAATAGCCTAGGCCTTGTCCAGTGATCGTATTTATAGGCATCATCAGGAGGTCATGTGACCTTTCTGAACCAATCAGAACACAGGTTTGATGGCTTTCATACAAGAAACACTGTATAGGAAGTGTCATATCTAACACAAGTAAGTGATTACTAATTGTCCTTATGTTGTCCTTTTTGTCCTAATACAAGTAAGTGATTACTAATTGTCCTTATGTTGTCCTTTTTGTCCTAATACAATTAGAACCACTCAGTAGAAATAATCAGAACCTCGAGACAATTTGTTATGACTTAACGGACAACGTAGCGTCAGTGGCCGCCATCTTGGTTGGTGGCCGACTCTATGACAAGTGAAATTTACAAAAGAATCAGTTTCCTTTATCATTTGGTCCTTATGTGATATAAAGTGTCCGAAAAGATCGAATATGATGGACAATTTAGATTTATGCTAACATCTGATATTACAAGAATAAGGACAACAATATATTCAGGCCAAGCGGGTGGGACGACATTTTGACAGACGTCAAATGTATGCTAAGGCCATTGACAACTTTGGCCCAGTGTAGCGTAAATTCCACACGAATTGGTGTTGTCCTATGTGTCCTTTAATAATTCGGACACTAACAAGATTGCTAAACTATTTGGTAAATGCAAACAGAGAAAACGGACAGCAGGCTGTCAACTAGTGCCTTGAATGATTGTCGGCAACAAATGTCAAAACACGGAACGACTGTTATATTGCAGGTACAAATGTAGGAAATACAGGAAATATTATATTGTCCTCTATGTCTTAAAAAATGTATTTCTACCATAGAATGCAAAAAAATACCAGAAAATGAATATGTGGCTTTGATATAAAAACGGGCATCCAGTTTATAATCAGTCACTCAGCTTAACGTGAGAAATGTCAAAGCCTTAGAAAGAAAATTGGTTAACATCCTAATATTTTACCCATCCAAATGAAATAAAAATCACCACACTATTAACAAGTGAAAATACTATTGAATTACAGAACCTGTCAATGTATATCTATTTTGCTTTTATGCATAGAAAATCTGCTTTACATTTGTAAACTGTAAATATTTGACATATGTTTTTTTCTGCTGCTCAGTTGTAAATATTGTGTATATAATTGTACTATAGGCCTGTGGCCTTTTAAGTACCGAATGAAGACTGATTGACGTATTTCACCGGGTACCCATTTTCTGCTGGGTGAACAGAGGCAATTTTGAACAGTTGTCACTTCTATGTCACGGTGAACTGTTATCGTTTTCAACGGTTGTGAGGAGAAACATTGCGGTTGTTTCCTTTGATGGCCTTCAGCATACACCTGACTCTAATGAGTTCCAGTACTGAGGCCTCTGAGGCCCAAGTCCAAGTTGTGAGGCATCTCGGTAACTAGGTCTGAGTTCCAGATCTGAACGCTCTCAGTCTTTGGTCTGAGTTCCAGATCAGAGGCAACTCAGTCTTTGGTCTGAGTTCTATATCTTAGGCTTCTCATTCTTAGGTCTGAGATCCAAGTTGTGAGGCTTCTCAGTCTTAGGTCTGAGTTCCATATCTGAAGCATCTCAGTCTTAGGTCTGAATTCCAGATCTGAGGCACCTCAGTCTTTGGTCTGAGTTCTATATTTTAGGCTTCTCAGTCTTAGATCTAAGATCCAAGTTGTGAGACTTCTAACTCTTAGGTCTGAGGTCTAGATTTGAGGCGTCTCAGTCCAAGGTCTGA